GTGTGTGTGTGTGAGAGAGAGAGAGAGAGAGAGAGAGAGAGAGAGAGAGAGAGAGAGAGAGAGAGAGAGAGAGAGAGAGAGAAACATCTGCCCTCTCCTTCCTGTACCCTGTGAAGTGCCGGTACCTTACAGGTGCCAGATAGTGAGTCTAACAGATTACAATGGATGTCATTTCAATGTTCTTTTACCTGCCCTGCATGCTGCTGTTACTTCGCCTTCCTCGTTTCGTGCTCATATGCATCACGAAACAAGGCGTTCACATTGTGGATACTGAACATCGATCAACCTATCAATCAACAATCACAATGATCTCTCTCTCTTTCTCTCGAAGAAGAGAGAGAGAGAGAGAGAGAGAGAGAGAGAGAGAGAGAGAGAGAGAGAGAGAGAGAGAGAGAGAGAGAGAGAGAGTGCAAACAATTTTCTGTGTTGTGTGTTCTATTATATTCTTTTTTTTTAAATTCTAAATATAAAGAAAGAACGAGGCTCTATATTGGAAAAAAGAAAAAGAACGACGCTCCTCATCCCCGAATGTACCCCCCCCCCCCTGCTGTCGCCACGCATCCGCTCAGCCAGCGTCGCGTCCACTTGTATTCATGAATGATAACACCATTGCCTGCTTGTTGCACTGCACACTTTCTGCGTTTTTGCTTTGCTGTGCCTTTCCAGATGGGCTGAACAGCTGAATGGCAGACTCTTGACGTACTGTACGAGGGACTATTGTCAGACTATTGTCAGACTTCTGTCAGACTATTGTCAGATTCCTGTCAGACTATTATCAGACTATTGTCAGTAATGGCAACAGAGAAACAAAAAGACTAATGGAGTGCTGTCATTCCAATTCCATGTGGTGGTTTTCAACAGCTGCCTGTTTTGCATAAAGGATCCCTCCGCGCCGGCTTTCCTGTGAGTGCGGCGCAGCCACAATGTATAGGAGGTTCAGGACATCTTCCTGCAGACGGGTGTGCTGTCTGCTTCCGTCTGTCTCCATCTGGCCACTGAGATCTCCCGCCCGTGACTTGCGCTCTTGGGGAACGAACCTGCCTGTTGGCGCTGGATTACCAATCCCCACCGTTGCTGGGAGCGAGGAAAGATTGCAAAGTCCGTTCTTTAGGAAGTACTCCTCCTATCAATCTGGTAAGGCCCTTGGTTACCCATCAACCCATGCTCTTTTTTTGGGTTGTGTTTGGTGGTGGGGGGGAGGGGGGAAAGGACTACTTGCGAGTCACAAAAACAGTTTGAAAAATACACTACGGGCAAAAAGGAGTTTCAAATTGCACTTCGGGCAATGTATACAAGCTACCTTTCAGGTCAGGTAGGGTTTGCGCGGGGGTGGGGGTAAGTGCTTTTGTGACTCTACTGAAGTTACCCCCCCCCCTTAAACGAAGGACAGGTAGGGTTGCGTGGGGGTGTGTTATGCTCGGGGGAATGCGGGAAGTGCAATTTCAAACTGTTTTTGTGACTGTACGGAAGTTACCCC